GGTGGATAATGAAAAGAGCTAAAAATAGGCAGCTGCAGCCAAGAAGCGCGCAGGACAACAGTGCCACTCGCTGGCAAAGCAGCGCGGGTGGCGCAGCCGTCGAGCCTGCGGACGCAGCCGCCGCGCTCGGCCCCCTCGCACCCCCTGCGCCGCTCCAAACACGTGCGGCTCCTCCACCTGCCCCGATCCACGTGGAGTGGGGAATAGACCCGGCCCCGGGCATCCCCGCGGCCGTGACACCCGGATCCTGCGTTGCAAAACCGGAGGCGGTTCGTGCCAAAACACCCGCGCTCGGCCCCGCTGGCGTTGCCTTGCCCCGACCCAGCTGCAGCTGCGCTCGGGGAAAGCAAAGGCCAAGGCTGCCTCATCCTTGCCTGGACCCACTTTCTGGCACGCCCAAAGCCTTACCAGGAGAGGTGACAGGGTTGTGAGTGTCCCTTGGTGCTCTCACCACACTGCAAAGGAGCCTGTCCTGTCCCGCAGTGGGAAATCTCCCCATTCCTCCTCCCAGCATGGGGCCAGTGGGACGGAGGCTCCCAGCTCATGTTTCACCATTTCCATGGCCTCTCCCTGAAGCTGTGGTGGCACGGCTGGCCCCTTCGCCCCCTCTGCCAAAGCCGGGCTGTGTGATGCCCCCATTGCGCCACCCACCTTCTCCATGAAAATCAGAACTCCCCATCTGATGTGAGACCTTAGTTCATGCGTGTCTTTGCCACTTTCTTCCCTGAAAAGCTTGGGGGAACAAGACAAGGGGACCCTAAGGGAGCTCGACTGAGGTGTCTGACCACAGCAAACAGCCCTGATATGCTCTGATGCCACCACGATGAGACACTTACAGGCTCCTGCTCCGTTTCTTACGGGAGGTCTCGTCCCCTTCGTCACAGCTGCATTCGGGTTCAGCTCCGCTCAGCTGAGGGGGAACAGAAAAACAGCACCTGCATCATCATGGCATCCCCTGTGGTCCCCGCACCCGTGCAGCCCAGAGCCTCAGCGTCCGCAGGGCTCCTTCCCCACCACCACAGCTGGCATTGGCAATGCAGCGGGGACAAGCTGTGGGACAAGCTCCTCTTGGCTCTGGCAGAGGAACCTGCCTGCCCCCACCCATTCTGTGCTACCTCCAGTCCACGGTGTCGCTGGAGCATGGGAGGAGACCCCCAGCTGGTAGCCCAGGTATCCCTGCGAGTTCAAGATGCTGACAGTGATAGCTCCTATGAGGAGGACACCCACACTCCTATCCTGATACTTCTGTTTCTGCTGTCTTGAGTGGATGCAGAGATCCCTCCCCAGCCCGCAGAACCAATCAGGGGTCCCCCACCAGTCCTCAGGCAGGAAAATTCAGAGCAGTTCAGCCATAATTGAAGCACATTATGGCAGTCTCCAAGTCTGAGGAGAACCCAGAAGGCTCCATTCCCTGACCACTGCCCCAGGGTGGCCAGGGCAAACCAAGGGGACCTCGGCAAGCGCAGCCTCCAAGCCATGAAGCCTGGGGCCAGGCATGGGGACCCCTGGGACCACGAGGTCTCAGTGGCTTTAGTCATTCATCCATGACTGAATGAGACTGGAAGATGCTCGCAGCCAGCCCCGCATCCAGCTTGGCCCTGCACCAAGCCCAGCCCCGCGCTGCCAGGGGCTGCAGGGCGCTTTCCAGGATCGCCGCCCCGCGGCCGTGCCGTGGGAACCCGCTGCACAGCCCCGCAGCCCTGGCCTCAAGGCTTTTGACACTTCCTTCCATTCTGCACCCAGGTTTCCGGAGTTTATCAGCCCCAAACAATGCAGCCCTTGCAAAGCACCTTCCCCCAGCAGATAGGGCCCCGGCAGGCGGGCTGGCCGCGGCGACGAGCAGCCGGAGCACGTTTCCTGTCATTGTCCGCAGAGGCTCCACCGCACTCGGGGACAAAAGGCAGCGGCAGAGCTCGCCCCAGGAGTCCCCATGCTCCCGGCCACAATGTGCTCTTAAAACAACCACCTCCCAGCCCCACCACGGGAAGGAGGGGAGGCACACTGGGCATGATGGTGTTAAAAATGGACAACAAAATCAGCCCCTCTGAAGGATAACAAACAACACCTTGGTGGATGCTGTGGCCCGGCCGCCGAAGCCACTGGGTATGAGTATCACCGGTGCTCAGCAGCTTGGTGCTGCTGCTGGAGGGGATCTGTATGGGAGCTGCACATCAGTGCACTGCTCTTGAAACCCCAGAAGGATTCATTGAACCCAGCCCAACAAAAGCCCCTCAAACGTGCATGCAGGGGGATTGCAGTAGCCCAAAATTCCATGCACGTGGTGGCCCAGCACTGTGCTCGGCTCCTCTGCCCACTGCGGCCCCTAGGCAGCCAGAGCAGGAGGCAATGGGGCAGGAGGGCAATGGGGCAAGGGGTAAAGCACCCACACAGAGCCAGACCAAGCTGCTCTGAGGGTAGAAGCAGGAGCACCAGGAGGTCCAGCAGCTGGCATGGGCTGCCCTGGTCCCTGCTCCAAAAACACCCGGTCTCGCTTGCATCCAGAGCAGTTTAATTCAGGAACAGCTCAGTTTGCCTCTGCTGAAAAACACCCACCCAGACCAGCCCAGGAAGCTCAGCTGGGGGCTCTGCGGGGCAGGAGCAGGGTCTGTTCCCCGGGTGTCCCCCCAGCAGTGAGCACGCAGCCCGCCGGGTCTCAGCCAGCGCTGCAGAGCTGTGTGCTCCCGGCTGCACACACAGCGGCACTGTGAAACCTCTTTCCAGGAGACTTTGTCACTGGCAGCACTAAGGGGACACTCACCAGGTACTGCCACCACCTCCCTTGCATCTGCACCAGGCAGCGTGCGTGTCCCTGTACAAAGGTGGCCTTTCTTGATAGGATGTGGAAGGGGGTCTGAAACCCCCAGCCCACAATTGCTGGCATCAGCCTCTGAGTTCGGGCTACTTTTTTGCACAGCAGCCCCATCTGACCAGTCTGGCAGATCTGTAAGGGTTGTCATCAGCTGGACAGGGACCATGAGCCCAAAAAGTGCTCCAGGAAACAGTATCAGAGGTGGCTTTTCAAGCAGTGTGAGCCTGGCAGGAAGAGGGTTAACCCCATCACAGGTTTAACCCCATCATGCAGGGCTCTGTACCAGCCCCTCCTGCCAAGGAGCCAGCTACCATAGAGCAGCACACAGTGTGGTCCTGTGCCTGGCAAAGTGGTCCCGAGCAGCATGACATGGTCCTGAGCTGTTTGAGGAGGTCTTGAGCCATGCAACATGACCCTGAGCGATGCAGTGTGGTTCTGAGGCAAGCAGTGCAGCCCTGAGCAGAGCGGTACCCACAGCTTCTGGCAGAGATGGAGCTGGCGTGAGCACAGGCAGGCAGTACAGGGTGCTGGGCCAGCACCACAGGAAGGCCAGTAGCCACCCACAGCACCCAGGCAGGCTTCAGCCAGGGAGAATGGGGCAAGCAGCACTTAGGATCATAGAATGGTTTTGGTTGGAAAAGACCATGGAGTTCAACCATCAAACCAGCCCTAGGTCCACCACTGCTCACACACAAATCTTGGCAATGGCACATCGATTCCTGCAAAAGCACAGCCAAGGCAAGCTCTGCTCCAGGGGAGCACCCCAAACCAGCCCCATGCACCTCTCCCCACCAATCTCAGCAGACAGTGGCTCTCCAGGACATGGGACCTTGCAGGATCTGATGAGAGATGCCCACCCACAGTAGCAGCACACTGCCTCTGGGTGACATCCCCTGGGGGCTAAGCATCTCCCAGAGCTGACTGCCAGTGGCTGGGACCTTGCTGCCCCCACCAGATGCCAGCCATGGAGAGAGGGGCCACATGCCAGGACACCTCCACCCCAGGAGCTTCCCCACTGCCACAGTCAAGCAGGAACTGGCCACCCCATAGAGCCAGCACCATCTCACATACCTTCCTGTGGCCCGAAAACAGCAGGGTGAGCTGGTGGATGGAGCCGCCGTTTTTGGCGAGCTCTTTCTTGAGGGTCCTGGGGGAGGGCAGGGCCCAGTGGCCCTTGGTGCCCTGGCTGTCCAAGCAGTTGAGGGTGGTGTCGGAGGTGAAGCAGTGGCTCTTGGCCTCCTGCAGCAAACTGCCCTCGCTGTGGGTCCGGCGCCGCAAGGAGCTCTGCACGCTCAGCGTGTAGACGGGCTGACAGCCCGACGTCTCGATCATGCTGCTGCGCTTCATCTCATTCCTCTCCAAGTAGTGCTCGTCGCTGTCCTCCTCCTCATCTTCCTCATCCTCATCTTCATCTTCCTCCTCCTCATCCTCATCCTCACCGTCTGTGGTGCTGCCTGCCATGCCGGCCACGCTCTGGCTAAAGGTGCTGTCGAGCCGCAGCTCAGGGATGACGAAGGCTGGTAGGGAGCTGGGCTGCTCCTCTCCCTTCTCGGTGGTCGCTGGCTGCTTTTCTGCCAGCAGAGGACTCTGGGTGGCTCCTAGAGCTTCCCAGGGCTTGGCTGAAGTTGGTGCCTCTGCAGCTGGAGGAGCATCACCCGCTGCTGCCTTCCCATCCTCCGAGTGCATCTGCCCCGGTTTCTCAGCGTCCGTCTCCAGCATCTGCCCAAAAGAGAAGATAAAGAAGGATGAAGGCAGAAGCACCCCAAAATCTCTCAGTGGTCACCTCCCTGGGGAGCCTTTCTGTTCCTAACACCCCAGTGAAGGGGTGGCACCAATCCGTACAGCTCTAAAGGTGCTCTGATGGGGTGGGACAGCATCATCCCCACATCCCCAGGTGGTGGCAGGTGGCCCATCACCTCCACAGCACCCAGACCTGATCCCTGGAGCACCAGGTTCCCCTGTCAGCAGCAAGCTGGTATCTATGGGGAGGAGTGGGATGGGGCCACCAAGCCCCAGCCTCCAGCACCCAGCAGCACCAGCAGGTTTGGAGGAAAGCAGGAGGTGGCAGATAGCTCAGCCAGGCTTGGCTCTGGCCACAGCACCGGTAACATCATCCTTACCCCGATGGCTCCCCTGCAACTCTGGGAGCTGCTGGGGGGGCTCAGCCCTGCAGAGATCTTCCCTGAAGTCAGCTGAGAAAAGCAGCAGCTCTCGCCCGGCAGCTCCGGCCCCTCCTGCGCCACATTATTAAACGCAGAAGGGAAGCGCCGGGCTCTGCTCATCTGCGGTTGCCCAAGCTCAGCCCAGCCACGGCCACGACCGGGTGCCCTGGCTGTGGGGCTCCCCACGGCCGCCCCACTGTGCCCTGCGCAGATGTGGCCCTGCAAAACCACAACCGCTCCTACCAGCCCCTTTCAGCCTTTTTAAGCTTTCGGAGCTGCTTTTTTCTGTCAGCTTTCCTCTGCAGCAGGGAAAGGCCTGAGCAAGCTCTGCCCTTTCAAAGGGAAAAGCCAGGAGTAGCTCAAGGGAAAAAAACCCTCCAAGGCTTTTTTGTAAGCAGGGGAAGCCTGTGATGAGCCCCCTCTGTCAGAGCTGGGTCCTCTCTTCCGAGTGATTTTCCCTTTGCACAGAGCCCATCTAAGCCAAAGGGGCAAAAACAGCTCAGAAGGGGAGAAGAGACCAAACCAGAGAAAAATCATCCCTCTGAGAAGCAATTCCCACCTACACAGACACTGTAGGGCTGGGGTTATCACACAGGACCAACCCCAGGTAACAAGTCACCCAGAAAAACTGTCACTGTATCCCCAGTTAAGATCCAAGCATTTACACGAGTCCGATGGCAGCCAGAAAGCTGGAGCTAACAAAGCCACCACCCCTGAGTGAATTAGGATGACTTCAACATCAAAAAGAGCAGCGGTCCCAGGAATCAACCCATCCAGCCTCACATCCCATTGGGAAGAGGCATCCTGGAGCAGATGGAGCCTGGATCCCCGCAGAGGTCCCAGCCTGTGACAGCAGATCCCTGTGAGCCACCCCGGGACAGCCACCCCGCTGCCAAACACCTCCTCGCCCTGCAGAGCTGGTGCCCATTGAATATAACCCACCACTGTACACAGACATCGGGCTGCAAAAGCTGGTGTCATCCCCGGGAAATACTCTGGGGGTGTTTAAGTCCTGGCTTTGGCACCATCCGCTCTGCACAGAGGGGCTGGTGAAGAGACCATGTGGCACTCAGCAGCACCCGCAGGCACCCGTCTGGGCTAACGGGTCCAAAAAGCTGGCCAGATTCCCAAAAAGATGCTCAAGTCCAGCATCACAGAGGAGTTCACTCATTTCTGCCTGTGCCTTGTTCTTTTTTATTGCACCAAAGAGTCTCCTTACACCTCTGAGCATGTAGAGGACCCACTCTGTCCCCTCCTCAGCCCCATCTGCGACATCTGCCCCGTTCTCAAAACAGCTGGATTTGCTGGGAGGCACAAAGAGAATGCTTGGTTTATGCCATCCTCAGGGCTGTTCCACTCCCCCTTTACTTTCTTGTAAAAAGGGATTGTTTCCAGACTTGCCATGCAAGGATGTTATTTGCGCCAGCGCGTGTTTTAGCGATGCTGTTTATGTCTTATTTGCTTTGCAATCACTGTCATCATTATTTCATGAAATAATTAGAGGAAAAACCCATGCAGCCCTCAATTCACTCCCCGCAAAGCCCTCCCCAACAGCTCCCTATCTGTCCAGTCCTTCTGCTTAATATTGCTGGTTGCCCGCATCAGATAAGGCCCTAGAAGGAAATGAACAGGCTCTTTTAAAATGAGAGACATTTGGGGATTAAATTAAATCCCTGCGCTAATTCAATCAGAGGCTCTGCTGCTCTTCAGTGGCACGGAAGATATGAGCAGGAGCCTCACCATGGAGCGAGGATCCCATCTGAGGTTGAAAGCATCACCGGGGCTGTGAAATCCTGCCCTTGCAGTAAGGATGAGCCGTGGCTGAGCTCTGCTAAACATCACCTCATGGTGGGGGAAAGACAGGGAAGGAGAGCGGCAGAGTAAGAGATCAACAAGCTTGATCACAGCTGGAGGCATCAGGGTACATCAGCATGAAGCTACGGGCCATCCTGCTGTGCAAAGCGGGTTTGGGCCAGCAAGTACAGGGATGCAATCAGGTCCCCTCCTCAGCATCATCACAGCCACAGGGTGGCTGGAGGAGGCAGCAGATGGAGACATGGCTGGTGCTGTCTGAGCAGGGAGGTGAAGGGGACATTTGTCCTTCCACCTCAAGGACTCACCCAAAACACCCCGTGGTCTCGCTGCAGCATGGATCCCTCTCCTTTGGCCATCAGCAGTAGCTCAGGAGCCAGCAGCCAACATCTGGATCTCTCCATCCTCAACATCTTGGTCTCACTGCCCTCAAAATCTGGGTGTCCCTATCCTCAATATGTGTGTTTCCCTGTTCTCAGCATCTGCATCTTCCCATCCTCAACATCTGGGCCTCCCTGTCCTCAATAAGTTGGTCTTCTCATCCTCAACATCTGGGCCTCCCTGTCCTGCACCAGGGAGGCCTATGGACCTCACACTTGACTCTCTCAGTTTCTAGTTCAGACTAAAGTGGCCAAGGCAGCGTGTTCCCCCAAGAAGGGGAAGAGAAAGTAGATGAACAAGCTGCCTCCAAGGACAGCTGCCAGGGGTAACCTTAGGGAAGGAAAATGATTGGTCTGCAACAGAGTCCCTAATATCCATTTCCCCATTGAAAAATGCTCAATAAGCCCCAAAAATGCCAAACATTGCCCTGCCTGCTCCAGCATCCTCAATCTCTGCACCCGAAACCTGCTGCCAGGACTCCCTCTGCCTCTGGGCATCACTCCCCGACTCAAAAGTATTCTTGGAACCAAGGTGGGGGAGAAGCCCTGCAAACTCTGCTCTTCGGTCTGCAATCTCATTGGGTTTTTCTCTGGTTGCTGCTGCTCTGACGAAAGCAGAGCACATTTCAACCAACAGATGTGGGTTTGTCAGTGCGGCCTTGACTTCTCCAGCGTTTCTCTGAATAATGTGCCCTTTCTGGTGGCCCACGGCCGGGACTTCCAGCTGGGAAAACACCGCCAGAGATACGGCACAGCTGTGAGCTGAAGCCTGCACTGGCCTTCCCCCGGTGCAGCCAGAAGAGCCGTGATATGTGGCAACCTCTTAAATCTCCAGTTCTGGGAGGTCAGGGGGTTTTTTGAGGCTCTCAGCTTCTTATTCCCAAACCTCTGCTCCTCACAGTCATGGAACTGCTGTGGCTCAAGTAAAGCCTGGGCAGAAGAAAACTGAATTCAGCCTTTCCTGGCTCCTGGCGTGGATGCTCAGGTTTTGCAATGCACATCTTTCTCCTGTGGCAATACTGGGGAATTGTCGTGGTTTCACTGGGATAGAATCATAGAATCTGTTTTCTATTCAGAAAAGCTCCATTTTTTCAAGGACTACAGCACTCGATTTAGTGGAAATAAAGCCGATGAAGACATTTTGTTGTAGTTTTCAGCCAACACTGGAATGCAGGGATCAAGGTCTTTAGCAGTTTGGGGTTTGCCAGGTGCAGAAGCTGGGGGAGCGAAAGCCAGGGCAGCCGACCCAAGCTGGTCACAGAATTATTCCATACCATAAACATCACATCCACTATAAATTGGGGGGTTTGTTGGGGATTGCCTTCTTTCCTCGATGGTTTATATCCCTGGAGGGTCTCGGCCATCATTCTGCTCCCAAGGACTACTTCCCTACTCGTGACTGTGTATAATTCTGTGTACTTTACATTAATATTGCTATTAATATTAGTTTTTGCACTGTTGGACACTGAGCTGAGCATGAGAGCGAAGGATGTTAACCCCAGGAGGAGTTAATGGCCCTCCTCAGACATGAGCTGCTCTCAAGGGTCACCCCCAGACCACATCAGCTCCATCCTCCATAGAGGAACCTCTCTGGCTCCTGCTGCCCTTAAATCTACCTCTACTCAGAGGTGCCTCAGCTGTCCCCAAAAGCATTTAACTCCATGGAAGTGAGACCAAGTCCCTCTCCAGGGGGGATACCAGAGAGGACGCAGCCAGCTTCACTGCTGGCAGTGCATCCCCTGTGTGGAGGTAACATCCCTCCCCAGGAGGAGGATGTGGGGAGAACAGCACCTACATTACTCAGGGAAACACCAACATATCCAGAGTAGGCTTTTCCCAAAGTGGAAGTAAAAATTACAATTTCATGGTTTTTAGCATGGGAGAAACTGTGCCCAGATCCATCGGACACTTCTAACTGGCCCTGTGAAATGCCACCAAACCCACTGATGATGAGCACCTCGAGACTTCAACAGCGATTGCTAAGAGCCAAGTAAGCACACGGCTACAGGAAGAGGCATCTAATACACAGCACAGGGCTGAGAGGAAGAAAACAAAGCCAGAATCACAAAGCAGAACTACCAAAAGTTGAGAAAATTTTCATGGAAGTCATTCTGAAAGTACTCACGATGAGCATCCCACGGGCAGCTCCGCTCCTCGCCCTCCTTGAGCCGCAGCAGCTCTGTGGAGCCAGCCAGAGCTCAGGGCTCATCGCACAGCAGGGTTTTCTACCCATTCCCTGCTTCATTACTGCATTGATGAATAATTGATACCGAGCAATTAGTGTAACAGCAAAAGCAAGCACGGATGTATAAACCCGAAGAGCAGGATCCAACAGTTCACTGGGGCAGGGTGGCGAGGGTGGATGTGTGCCTCCAATGAGACACCCGTGGGGGTGTGAATGTTCATACCGCCCAAAAAACCCTAGGGGTTTGAAATGTCTCAGAGCCCTGGAAGGAGACGTCCTCCTCCGTGGGAGGAAACGATCCCATATCAGCAGCCTGCCCTCATCCCATTGCCTCATTACTGTCATCCCCAATAGATTGCTCTGCAAATGGGGGCATCTTCCAGTGCTGACTGGGCATTGCAGTGCCGCACTCTGCACTCTGCACCTCTCCCCAGAGCTGCTCTGCTCCCTGAATAAACCAATTAACAGGAACCAACACTTAATTGAGGGTAACAGCCTTACCTGTAGAGGAGGGTGTGCAGGAGGGAGCCTGGTCTGCAGGCATAGCTCACACCAAGCATTTTGGGATTGGCTGCTGAGTGTTACAAACAACCTGGGATGAAAATTCCCCATGCCGCGTACTTCAGCAGAGCCATTGGAGCCAACCCAGCCTTGCTGCCACCCCAGCAGTCCCAGCTCTGAACCCCGACCTCTCCCCTGCCTCCATCCCCACCGAGGTTACAAGCACACCCAGAGCTCTGATTTCAGTGGGAAAGGCTGAATTTACTGGTTTGTCCCCAGTACCAGCAAACAGAGGGTTTCCAAAAGGCTGTAAAAGCCCTGGAGCAGGAAGCCCAGGCTGTCAGCACACTGCAGTGCTGCTCCCGCAGTGAGAGCCGTACACAGTCCAGATTTGCAAGAGATCCTCAAAAAATCCCCATCCCAACATACACCCCCTCGCTACCCCTCTGATATTGCTCATTACCAACCCTTTCAACCCAGCCTGACAGTGAATGGAACCACAGGTTCCCCAGTCCAGCACGGGGGTGTGGGGGGACCAGCGTGGGGAGCAGCAGATGCAGATCCCAAAGGACACCTGCGCTCCTGCCTCCTCCACCTGCAGCTGGAGCCTGGCGAAGGGTGCAGCCCCCAGGTTGCAAACTTCATAAGCAAAACCTACCAAATCTGGGCTCTCGGTTGCATCCCAGCTGCGGGGACCAAGCGAGCGGTGTCTCCCTCCGGTGTCCCCAGCCCCAACATGTGCCTGCAGCCACGGCTCAGTGGATGTGAGCGCAGGACTCGGCTCTGCTGCTGCGGTTATTAATGTCTGTGTTGAGCAGTAGCTGAAGCCGCCCCAGCCTCTCCCAGACACTGCTCCCTTGTGCTATTTACGGCTCTGCTAGCGGTCCCCAGAGGCACCATTACCTGCTGATAAATGTGGATGACCACTCTGCCTTGAGGACAAGCTATGGATCACCCTGAAACACACTGCATTCACTTTGGCAGCTCCCCATCTCCTGCCCTGTCCTGCTCCCGAGCCACACCAAGCCACAGACCCATCCCAGTGCTGCCTGCTCAATGAAACCCTGCTGCAGGCTCGCAGTTGGGTTTTTCCCCAATTACTTTCTGTGGAAAAGGGACAGCTCTGAAGCAGGAGATGCTCTGCAGCAGGAGATGCTCTGCAGCTTGGCCTCTTACACTGCAATCCCCTTGAGCAGCTCTACCCAAACAGGCAGCAACAGGGAGAAAAAACACACAGGAGAATGTACAGTTTTTGTCCAGGGGACAGCCCATGTGTGACCACCGGCCCCTTCCCTTCTCCTGCAAGAACCAGTGCTCTCTCATGACACCCCATAGACACTGGGCTGGGAACCCGACTGCCTCGGTTAGATGTGCCTCCTGCTATTACGCTTTATGGGCCCAGGCAGGCAAGTTGCCCTGATGGCTA